CAGCACTTAGCACCTAGCAACCAGCACCTAGCAACCAGAACCTAGCACCTAGCAACTAGCACCTAACACCTGGCAACCAGCACCTAGCAACCAGTATCTAGCAACTAGCACCTAGCAACCAGCACCTAGCAACCAGAAACTAGCAACGAGCACCTAGCAACGAGCAGAGCACCTAGCAACCAGCAACCAGCACTTAGCACCTAGCAACCAGCACCTAGCAACCAGAACCTAGCACCTAGCAACTAGCACCTAACACCTGGCAACCAGCACCTAGCAACCAGTATCTAGCAACTAGCACCTAGCAACCAGCACCTAGCAACCAGAAACTAGCAACGAGCACCTAGCAACGAGCACCTAGCAACCAGCAACCAGCACCTAGCACCTAGCAACCAGCACCTAGCATCGAACATTATAGAACCTCTCGCTACGTTGTCTGCCTCAAGAGATCATAAAAATTAACAATTTAAGAACATAAGAATGTAAGAATGTAGGAACACTGCAGAAGGCCTACTGGCCCATACGAGGCAGACGTAAGAATGTAGGAACACTGCAGAAGGCCTACTGGCCCATACGAGGCAGGTCCTTATCAAAACAAATTTGTATTATAATAACCTTGGTCAACCTTATTATAACAAGAGCAATTTAATTTAGCCTAATCCAACTACATATATTTCATACAAGGTCTCAGTAATTTAATAATAAACGAACACAATGAAATACATTTTTCTCGTTAGATTCCAAATGATTTTTGGGAAATTATTGCATACACAAATTCTCGCTTGCCTTATTCGGCAAGAAGAGCGTTGCTGTTTAAGCGAAAATAGCGTTTTACTTATTCGGCACGATACACACACACACACACACACACACACACACACACACACACACACACACACACACACATATATATATATATATATATATATATATATATATATATATATATATATATAGTATATCAATTATTATAATGATTATTCTTTTTATGCAACTTTATGCAATAAAGAGTACTTCTCATTTACAAAAATACGTCAGAAACATTTACAAAGTAAATAAAAACGTGTATCAATAAAGATGGTTGTCTCGTATAATATAAATGAACTAGTTAGATACGTCAATACTGAAGACTGATCTCTCTATCTCTGAAGATGATTGTGTCGTGACCTGAAGGATGACTGAAGACACTATGGGTGTGGGCGCGAGTAAGGCAGCCGGTGAGGAAGGCAGACGCCTACTCATCCTGGTATTCATCCTCCTATCAACATTCTGGTGAGTACAGTCAATATCTGGATGAGTGCGAGGCTACGTCCACTTGCTGAACCACAGACTCCCTGTAGTCTACGGGAGAAGCCTCAAGGTACGAGATGTTTACTAGGTATCTCTCTCTACCTCCGCTCTACTATCCTTCCCTCTCAACCTTCTAGATAACAGCTAATATCCCTTCAACCTAGACAGAAATAGTTAACCCCCGGGTAGACTATCCACGTCTTCTGCTATAAGCCTCTCCTAGTGTAACTAGTAAGTATTGCTTCTACTATATTGTAATTAGTACTGCTTCTCCCATATTGTAACTTGTACTGCCCCTACCATAATGTAACTTGTACTGTTTCTACCATATTGTAACTTGTACTGCCCCTACCATACTGTAACTTGTATTGCTTCTACCATATTGTAACTTGTACTGCTTCCTCCATATTGTAACTTGTACTGCCTCTACCATACTGTAACTTGTACTGCCTCTACCATACTGTAACTTGTACTGCCTCTACCATATTGTAACTTGTACTGTCTCTACCATACTGTAACTTGTATTGCCTCTACCATATTGTAACTTGTACTGCCTCTACCATACTGTAACTTGTACTGCCTCTACCATACTGTAACTTGTACTGCCTCTACCATATTGTAACTTGTACTGCCCCTACCATATTGTAACTTGTACTGCCTCTACCATATTGTAACTTGTACTGCCCCTACCATATTGTAACTTGTACTGCCCCTACCATATTGTAACTTGTACTGCCCCTACCATATTGTAACTTGTACTGCCTCTACCATATTGTAACTTGTACTGCCTCTACCATATTGTAACTTGTACTGCCTCTACCATACCGTAACTTGTACTGCCTCTACCATATTGTAACTTGTACTGCCCCTACCATATTGTAACTTGTACTGTCCCTACCATATTGTAACTTGTATTGCTTCTACCATACTGTAACTTGTATTGCTTCTACCATACTGTAACTTGTATTGCTTCTACCATATTGTAACTTGTACTGCCCCTACCATACTGTAACTTGTATTGCTTCTACCATATTGTAACTTGTACTGCCCCTACCATACTGTAACTTGTATTGCTTCTACCATACTGTAACTTGTATTGCTTTTACCATACTGTAACTTGTATTGCTTCTACCATACTGTAACTTGTACTGCCCCTACCATACTGTAACTTGTATTGCTTCTACCATACTGTAACTTGTATTGCTTCTACCATATTGTAACTTGTACTGCCCCTACCATACTGTAACTTGTATTGCTTCTACCATACTGTAACTTGTATTGCTTCTACCATATTGTAACTTGTACTGCCCCTACCATATTGTAACTTGCATTGCTTCTACCATACTGTAACTTGTATTGCTTCTACCATACTGTAACTTGTATTGCCCCTACCATACTGTAACTTGTATTGCTTCTACCATACTGTAACTTGTATTGCTTCTACCATATTGTAACTTGTACTGCCCCTACCATATTGTAACTTGTATTGCTTCTACCATACTGTAACTTGTATTGCTTCTACCATACTGTAACTTGTACTGCCCCTACCATACTGTAACTTGTATTGCTTCTACCATACTGTAACTTGTACTGCCCCTACCATACTGTAACTTGTACTGCCTCTACCATACTGTAACTTGTATTGCTTCTACCATACTGTAACTTGTACTGCCCCTACCATACTGTAACTTGTATTGCTTCTACCATACTGTAACTTGTATTTGCCCCTACCATACTGTAACTTGTATTGCTTCTACCATACTGTAACTTGTACTGCCCCTACCATACTGTAACTTGTATTGCTTCTACCATACTGTAACTTGTACTGCCCCTACCATACTGTAACTTGTATTGCTTCTACCATATTGTAACTTGTACTGCTCTACCATATTGTAACTTGTACTGCTTCTACCATATTGTAACTTGTACTGCTTCTACCATATTGTAACTTGTACTGCCTCTACCATATTGTAACTTGTACTGCCCCTACCATATTGTAACTTGTACTGCTTCTACCATATTGTAACTTGTACTGCTTCTACCATATTGTAACTTGTACTGCCTCTACCATACTGTAACTTGTACTGTCTCTACCATATTGTAACTTGTACTGCCCCTACCATATTGTAACTTGTACTGTCTCTACCATATTGTAACTTGTACTGTCTCTACCATATTGTAACTTGTACTGCCCCTACCATATTGTAACTTGTACTGTCTCTACCATATTGTAACTTGTACTGCCCCTACCATATTGTAACTTGTACTGCCTCTACCGTACTGTAACTTGTACTGTCTCTACCATATTGTAACTTGTACTGCTTCTACCATATTGTAACTTGTACTGCTTCTACCATATTGTAACTTGTACTGCCTCTACCATATTGTAACTTGTACTGCTTCTGCCATATTGTAACTTGTACTGCCTCTACCATACTGTAACTTGTACTGCTTCTACCATATTGTAACTTGTACTGCTTCTGCCATATTGTAACTTGTACTGCTTCTACCATACTGTAACTTGTACTGCTTCTACCATATTGTAACTTGTACTGCTTCTGCCATATTGTAACTTGTACTGCCCCTACCATACTGTAACTTGTACTGCTTCTACCATATTGTAACTTGTACTGCCTCTACCATACTGTAACTTGTACTGCTTCTACCATATTGTAACTTGTACTGCTTCCACCATATTGTAACTTGTACTGCTTCTGCCATATTGTAACTTGTACTGTCTCTACCATACTGTAACTTGTACTGCTTCTACCATATTGTAACTTGTACTGCTTCTACCATATTGTAACTTGTACTGCTTCTGCCATATTGTAACTTGTACTGTCTCTACCATACTGTAACTTGTACTGTCTCTACCATATTGTAACTTGTACTGCTTCTACCATACTGTAACTTGTACTGTCTCTACCATATTGTAACTTGTACTGCTTCTACCATATTGTAACTTGTACTGCCTCTACCATATTGTAACTTGTACTGCTTCTACCATATTGTAACTTGTACTGCTTCTACCATATTGTAACTTGTACTGCCTCTACCATATTGTAACTTGTACTGCTTCTACCATACTGTAACTTGTACTGCTTCTACCATATTGTAACTTGTACTGCTTCTACCATATTGTAACTTGTACTGCCTCTACCATACTGTAACTTGTACTGCTTCTACCATAATGTAACTTGTACTGCCTCTACCATACTGTAACTTGTACTGCCTCTACCATATTGTAACTTGTACTGCCCCTACCATATTGTAACTTGTACTGCCTCTACCATACTGTAACTTGTACTGCCTCTACCATACTGTAACTTGTACTGCCTCTACCATACTGTAACTTGTACTGCCTCTACCATACTGTAACTTGTATTGCTTTTTGTCTCTAATACAGTCTTTGTTATCCAGACTAAATATTTTTAAGCTAACATTAATAATAATAATAATAATAATAATAATAATAATAATAATAATAATAATAATAATAATAATAATAATAATAATAATAATAATAATAATAATAATAATAATAATAACGTCTTTTTTCCCTCCCGTGTTCTGAAAATTCCCCTCACCGAACTATTATCAGCTACAGCTGTTCTTAATGGCAATATATTCCCTGCCTCTATTATACCAGGCCAGTAACATGACTCAGTTTCCCCACCACAGTGAGTAACATGACTCAGTTTCTCCCACCAGAGTGAGTAACATGACTCAGTTTCCCCCACCACAGTAACATGACTCAGTTTCCCCCACCACAGTAACATGACTCAGTTTCCCCCACCACAGCAACACGACTCAGTTTCCCCCACCACAGTGAGTAACATGACTCAGTTTCCCCACCACAGTGAATAGCATGACTCAGTTTCCCCACCACAGTGAATAACATGACTCAGTTTCCCCCACCACAGTGAATAAAATGACACAGTTTCCCCTCCACAGTGAATAACATGACTCAGTTTCCCCCACCACAGTGAATAAGATAACTCAGTTTCCCCCACCAACTCCAATATTCCCGATATTTTTTCCCCTACACCTAGCAATTAATTTCCCCGCCTCTTCCTCTCCTGGAGATCATATTTTATTTCCATCTGGGGAAATTAGGTAATAAGGTTGCTCCTCTTTCCTTGGATTAAGAGCATTTTGAGAATCAATGAAGCTAAACTAATTTCACTTTATTTTGTGAGGAGGAAGAAAAATCTAATTCTTGGAGACATCAATAAAGAGACAATATAGAGGCAATATAGAGGCAATATAGAGGCAATATAGAGGCAATATAGAGGCAATAAAGAGGCAATACAGAGGCAATATAGAGGCAATATAGAGGCAATAAAGAAGCAATGTAGAGGCAATATAGAGGCAATACAGAGGCAATATAGAGGCAATATAGAGGCAATATAGAGGCAATAAAGAGGCAATATAGAGGCAATACAGAGGCAATATAGAGGCAATAAAGAGGCAATATAGAGGCAATATAGAGGCAATAAAGAGGCAATATAGAGGTAATATAGAGGCAATATAGAGGCAGTAAAGAGGCAATATAGAGGCAATATAGAGGCAATATAGAGGCAATAAAGAGGCAATGTAGAGGCAATATAGAGGCAATAAAGAGGCAATATAGAGGCAATATAGAGGCAATAAAGAGGCAATAAAGAGGCAATATAGAGGCAATATAGAGGCAATAAAGAGGCAATATAGAGGCAATATAGAGGCAATAAAGAGGCAATAAAGAGGCAATATAGAGGCAATATAGAGGCAATAAAGAGGCAATATAGAGGCAATATAGAGGCAATAAAGAGGCAATATAGAGGCAATAAAGAGGCAATATAGAGGCAATATAGAGGCAATATAGAGGCAATAAAGAGGCAATATAGAGGCAATATAGAGGCAATATAGAGGCAATATAGAGGCAATAAAGAGGCAATATAGAGGCAATAAAGAGGCAATATAGAGGCAATAAAGAGGCAATATAGAGGCAATAAAGAGGTAATATAGAGGCAATATAGAGGCAATAAAGAGGCAATATAGAGGCAATATAGAGGCAATAAAGAGGCAATATAGAGGCAATATAGAGGCAATAAAGAGGCAATATAGAAGCGATAAAGAGGGAATAAAGAGGCAATATAGAGGCGATATAGAGGCAATAAATAGGCAATATAGAGGCAATAAATAGGCAATATAGAGGCAATAAAGAGACAATGAGGAGACAATATAGAGGCAATATAGAGGGAATAAAGAGGCAATATAGAGGGAATAAAGAGGCAATATAGAGGCAATAAAGAGACAATGAAGAGGCAATGTAGGAGCAATATAGAGGCAATATAGAGGCAATATAGAGGCAATATAGAGGCAATATAGAGGCAATAAAAGGACAATAAAGAGGCAATGAAGAGGAAATAAAGAAGAAATAGGCAATAAATATGCATAATTTTTTTTCAAGCCTCCGAGGTCCTCTTCAGTGGCCAAGGCGGAAGTTAGGCGCTAGCTCTTGGACCTACTGGAGGTCCTGATTGACACTGGCGAGTCCTGACTGACACTGACGTGTCCTGATTGACACTTACGAGTCCTGACTGACACTGATGAGTCCTGACTGACACTGACGAGTCCTGAGTGACACTGACGAGTCCTGACTGACACTGACGAGTCTAAACTGACACTAACGAGCCCTGACTAACACTGGCGAGTCCTGACTGACAATGACGAGTTCTGACTGACACTGATGAGTTCTGACTGACACTGATGAGTTCTGACTGACACTGGCGAGTCCTGACTGATACTGGCGAGTCCTGACTGACACTGATGAGTCCTGACTGATACTGGCGAGTCCAAACTGACATTAACGAGTCCTGACTGACACTGATGAGTTCAGACTGGCACTGACGAGTTCAGACTGGCACTGACGAGTCCAGACTGACACTAATAGTGACAGGTACTGCCTGACACTGACCCAGTACCACCCGGTACTGTCATTAACTACAGATAACTGGTATTAACAGATTGACTGTCTAGGACTGGGTATATACTGGTAATGGACTGGTATGAACCGGTTATAAGCGTTATCTAACTGGTTATCTTCTCCCGACAGCGAGATATCCTCGGCCAACTTCCGGGCCCGTGAGAAACAAATCATTGATGAGATTATTGGTCCGGCCAACTATGACAAGCGCATCCGGCCAGCCGGAGCTAATGATACCGGTGAGTTGGTAGTTCCCGGTACCTCAGGTAATGTCTGGTACGTCAGGTTATGTCTGGTACGTCAGGTAATGTCTGGTACGTCAGGTAATGTCTGGTACGTCAGGTTATATCTGGTACGTCAGGTAATGTCTGGTACATCAGGCAATGTCTGGTACGTCAGGTAATGTCTGGTACATCAGGTAATGTCTGGTACGTCAGGTAATGTCTGGTACCTCAGGTAATGTCTGGTACATCAGGTAATGTCTGGTACCTCAGATAATGTCTGGTACATCAGGTAATGTCTGGTACGTCAGGTAATGTCTGGTACGTCAGGTAATGTCTGGTACGTCAGGTAATGTCTGGTACATCAGGTAATGTCTGGTACGTCAGGTAATGTCTGGTACCTCAGGTAATGTCTGGTACGTCAGGTAATGTCTGGTACATCAGGTAATGTCTGGTACGTCAGGTAATGTCTGGTACATCAGGTAATGTCTGGTACGTCAGGTAATGTCTGGTACATCAGGTAATGTCTGGTACGTCAGGTAATGTCTGGTACGTCAGGTAATGTCTGGTACGTCAGGTAATGTCTGGTACATCAGGTAATGTCTGGTACCTCAGGTAATGTCTGGTACCTCAGGTAATGTCTGGTACGTCAGGTAATGTCTGGTACCTCAGGTAATGTCTGGTACCTCAGGTAATGTCTGGTACGTCAGATAATGTCTGGTACGTCAGGTAATGTCTGGTACGTCAGGTAATGTCTGGTACCTCAGATAATGTCTGGTACATCAGGTAATGTCTGGTACGTCAGGTAATGTCTGGTACCTCAGATAATGTCTGGTACCTCAGGTAATGACTGGTACGTCAGGTAATGTCTGGTACATCAGGTAATGTCTGGTACTCCAGGTAATGTCTGATACCTCAGGTAATGCCTGGTATCCCAGGTAATGCCTGGTACCCCAGGTAATGCCTGGTACCCCAGGTAATTCCTGGTACCCCAGGTAATGTCTGGTACGTCAGGTAATGTCTGATACCTCAGGTAATGTCTGATACCTCAGGTAATGCCTGGTACCCCAGGTAATGTCTGGTATGTCAGGTAATGCCTGGTACCCCAGGTAATGTCTGGTACCCCAGGTAATGTCTGGTACCTCAGGTAATGTCTGGTATGTCAGGTAATGTCTGGTACCTCAGGTAATGTCTGGTATGTCAGGTAATGTCTGGTACCTCAGGTAATGTCTGGTACTTCAGGTAATGTCTGGTACCTCAGGTAATGCCTGGTACCCCAGGTAATGTCTGGTATGTCAGGTAATGCCTGGTACCCCAGGTAATGTCTGGTACCGAAGGTAATGTCTGGTACCTCAGGTAATGTCTGGTATGTCAGGTAATGTCTGGTACCTCAGGTAATGTCTGGTATGTCAGGTAATGTCTGGTACCTCAGGTAATGTCTGGTACCTCAGGTAATGTCTGGTACCTCAGGTAATGTCTGGTATCCCAGGTAATGTCTGGTACCTCAGGTAATGTCTGGTACGTCAGGTAATGTCTAATACTACCTGAAATATACCTGGTAGGGGCTTCGGGGGTCAGCGCCCCCGAGGTCCTGTGGGTGACCCGGATCAGTTCCAGTACACCGGGAAATTCAATGTGTCTGCTGAAGACACATGTGCAACACTTGAGGTATCTTTATCAGCACATTTCGCCCGCTCAATAGCCTTCAATTGAATATCGGCGACGTCATCAGTCCCTCAGTCGTGGTTGGAGGTGGTCAGTCCCTCAAGCCCCGAGCAGAGGCATGTATAAACTGACCTATTTCCAGTAGTGGGCCACGCTCACCTGTCAGGTAAACTCCAGCTGCTGCACCTCACCTCTACTCATGTATATTAGGTCAGGACGTCTGCCTTTTCTCTAAGCTTGAGGGACTGACCACCTATTTAGGCCTGATTGACTGACCACCTCCTGCCAAGGCTGAGGGACTGACCACCTCCTGCCAAGGCTGAGGGACTGACCACCTCCTGCCAAGGCTGAGGGACTGACCACCTCCTGCCAAGGCTGAGGGACTGACCACCTCCTGCCAAGGCTGAGGGACTGACCACCTCCTGCCAAGGCTGAGGGACTGACTACCTCCTTCCTGCGGATCACGTCAAAATCAATTTGTCTACTGTCGCCAGTGTTACATCTCCCAGTATTTGACTGAAGAAGGCTTTTGTACAGGCGAAACATGTCGGCACTGCAGTCAGCCAAGTGTTACACGTGTGTGGTAATCGTTCTCTCAGTTAGGATAAAAATCCTTCTACGCTTCGATCCCTTGTACACCCTTCTGTTGTTTATTACAATTTAGAGTTTATAGACGATGTGGGCCTTGATGAGGGTAGGAACATATCTACTGCTAAAGCTCCTGGGCCAAGGGAAGGAGTTCACTTAGATTAGAGTTGGTGCCAGTGACGCAATGGAATACAGTATTACTTCTGATTCTTACCTGTTAGATATCCGGGTTAGTCTGGATGGTAAAACGTTGGACTGTCAACAGAACACGGTTCGAGCCTCCCGTCCACCCTTTTCGTGATTCATCCTTCCTCTTGGTTACAATAAATCCTTCCACTTGGACAAATCCTGGCTGGTTTGAGAGGTCTGGGGATGAGAAGACGCAGAGGGCCACTATAATTGCATTTTTTGGCGTCTCGGAAGACAGATCACATTGTCTGTGATCTTCAGGCAGGTTGAACTAGAAAATTGCTGAGATTCTCCCTGTCGAGACTCACCAGGGATGTAGGTCACTCACACTTCTCAAGTATTCCTGTTTCTCTTTTTCTACACAAAAGGGTTTTACAGAGCTAGATTACCTGTTTCTTCCTTTATTTACAAACTAAGAGCCCTTACCTTACGTATATATATATATATATATATATATATATATATATATATATATATATATATATATATATATATATATATATATATATATATATATATATATATACATATATATATATATGTGTGTGTGTGATCGCAGGACGCTACACTGTGTGCTGTGTACTTCTGATGTGCAAATAGGTCTGGAATTTGGGCCCTCTGGTGATCTCTTTGAAAGTGTCGGTAGCAAGACTGAGGACTGCTACATCAATGATGGCTTTTCGGAGAATCAGGCCGATGGTGATGTTAGTGTGCCCAGTGGGGAGGACCAGTCGTTCCATCAATATTGGTATCTTCAAAATTAAGTTGGCAAATACCCTTTTCCCCTTCCATATATTCTTGCTTTTTTTTTAAGAAAGAATACATAGAAGGAGTACTCGGAAGAACCCTATGATAACTGTCCTCTTGGTTATCAGGTCACAATGGGCGAAGTAATGTACTATTACATTCTTATTAATGGGTTTTCTGTATACTTTAAACTTAAAATTATAACCATCTTTCATGAAAATGACATCCACAGAGAGTAAGCATCCATCTCTCTCTTCTTGTGTGAGTTATCTGGAGGGTACAATCATGCTCAGTAAGCCTCAGATCTGAGGTAGGCTATAACGTCTGGGAACAATGATAAAAAAATCATCCACATGTCTAAGCCAAATAATGTCGTTTGATGTCTTTGAAATGGTCCCACTCGAGGTACTCTAAATAGATGTTTACTAAAACTGCCGTGAGAGGTGATCCCATGGCCATTCCAAACTTTTGTTTGTAAATGTTATTGCCGAAGGCGAAGAAGTTGAGCCTGACACAAGCTTCAACGAGGCCAATAAAAGGTAATTACTTCATTGATGGGGACCTACTTGAAGAGGGAAGTAACGTCCAAACTAATAAGTTCCTTATTTTTAATGTATGTAGCAGTCACTACAACCACAACTACCAAAGAGTTCACCAGAAGCCTTAAAAATAGAACTATTTGCACAGCAGGAGTATACAGCACACATTATGGTGGCTGCGATTAGATGTGTCAGGGAGACAAGCATCGAACACACCTTCAGCAATATATATAAACCTGGAGGAGTGGTAAAACCAACAACAACAGCCTAGTCCATCCCCGCCTTCATTCCCACATCATAACCACATAATAAATACCTCAGGTACTAATCAAAACCAGCTCTTCTGACTCATAAGAACTGAGCGACGAACACAGCTGTTACACCACAACAACAGCAGAGCCAGACGTGGAATTTCTGAAGCAGCAGCAGTGATCCACCTCACCAAAACCACTGAGGAAAATAGATGAATGCACCTGTTGTCCACATTGTTCATGACTCACATTAATAAGCATAAACTTGTCACCTTACCTCCCCTGCTCCAACCAATTCCTGACCTCGCCAGACTGGTACTCGCAGTTTAATGCCCTTATATTTGACCTGTCTTTCTCAGAGCCTAATCATATTTCGCTCATTTGCCTTTTAGGGATTTTATTTGCTCATTCTGTATACCTGATTAAGTCCAGCCTTGGGGAAAACGTATTATTTAAAAGGTGTTCAACTAATTGCATTTTTATTTTCCCCTGGTCGACTCTTGCCAGTGTTGTGCTCACAAGCGTGAAAGTCAAAGGTCAAATCTCTCTTTATCTTAGTGAAGGGTGAGGACTGCCCTAGCAACGAGTTGTCACAAAGTCAGCGTACAACTAGTGACAAACGTTGCTTTCTATAGTCAAGAGGAAATATCAAGCTAATTTTTCATGTTAGCCAAAGATAATACCGTCTGCATTAACGTAGTGCAACACAATAGAGCAGATCAGTGGGCAGGTTAGTTAGGTGAATGCGACCAGTAAAGTCACTGATGTTGCAAGTTCACTCTCTTGCTTGTTGAGGCAAGGAGGAGAAAAATAGGGAAATAGCTAATGTCAATACATAACGTAGAGTGGACGTTAATTAGGTACGCTGGATGTCAGACATTGCGTAATTGAGGAAAAGGCTCAGCTGTAGAACTATCTTTCGCTCTAGCAACATTTCCCTCAGTGTAGAGCTTTAGGTAGGGTGACCCGAAGAAGAAAACACATTCATCATTCTTCAGTCAATAGCCATCTATTGTATCTATCTTGATCCTTCAAACTGTAATATATATATATTTTATATATATATATATATATATATATATATATATATATATATATATATATATATATATATATATATATATATATATATATATATATATATATATATATATATATATATATATATATATATATATATATATATATATATATATATATATATATATATATATATATATATTATATATATATATATCTCCTTTCAACACACCGGCCGTATCCCACCGAGGTGGGGTGGCCCAAAAGGAAAAACAAAAGTTTCTCCTTTCAAATTTAGTAATATATACAGGAGAAGGGGTTACTAGCCCCTTGCTCCCAGCATTTTAGTCGCCTCTTACAACACGCATGGCTTACGGAGGAAGAATTCTGTTCCACTTCCCCATGGAGATAAGAGGAAATAAACAAGAACAAGAACTAGAAAGAAAATAGAAGAAAACCCAGAGGGGTTTACATGTATGTGTAGTGTGACCTAAGTGTAAGTAACAAGATGTACCTGAAATCTTGCATGTTCATGAGACAGAAAAAAGGACACCAGCAATCCTACCATCATGTAAAACAATTACAGGCTTTCGTTTTACACTCACTTGGCAGGACGGTAGTACCTCCCTGGGCGGTTGCTGTCTACCAACCTACTATATATATATATATATATATATATATATATATATATATATATATATATATATATATATATATATATATATATATATATATATATATATATATATATATATAATTTATATATGGGAATTAATACTGTCTTGCGATGTTTCTCTCTGCCATGCAGGTCCAGCCATCGTGCACATCAACCTCATGATCCGAAACGTGCAGACAATCTCTGACGTCAAAATGGTGAGTGATCTCTCTCTTCCTCTACTGTTGTGCTGTTTTATCCCTGTTTTCTTTCTACACTGTTGAATTAACAAGCTAGGAGCTGTTATCTTACCTCAGCAGGTGTAGCAGTTCAGTCAGACGCTGTGGTTTACTGCTGTGGTTTACTGCTGTGGTTTACTGCTGTGGTTTACTGCTGTGGTTTACTGCTGTGGTTTACTGCTGTGGTTTACTGCTGTGGTTTACTGCTGTGGTTTACTGATGTGGTTTACTGCTGTGGTTTACTGCTGTGGTTTACTGCTGTGGTTTACTGCTGTGGTTTACTGCTGTGGTTTACTGCTCTGGTTTATTGAACAAGATTACAAAATTCACACTGGAGGTGTTAGGGGGGATATATTTGCTGTATTCTGTAAAGACAGGCGCCACAGGTGGTGACACAGGGAAAGCTCTGTGCTTCTGTGGCAGTCCCCGGTGCGTTGAAGACAGCAGCTCAGTCCGTGGTGGAGACAGCGTACGTGATTGTGGACACGTACAGAGTTTTGAGTTGCTGAAGGTCAAAGCTTCAGCGGACGTCCGTGTGTGTGTAATATAAACAAATAAATATACATTATATATATATATATATATATATATATATATATATATATATATATATATATATATATATATATATATATATGCACTGTGTTATATGGTAAACTGTTATTTTTTCATCTTCCACAGGAGTACAGTATACAAATCACTTTTAGAGAGCAGTGGATAGATCAACGGCTGACTTTTGACAACATCGGAGGTAAGATTGAAATAGATTTTGAGGGGGACAAATGTCTCTCTCCATATTTCTCTTGCTTTACCTGTTTCTCTTCCACTTTCCCTTTTTTGCTTTGATTTTCTCGTATTATAGTAAGAGTGAGTGAGAGAGAGAGAGAGAGAGAGAGAGAGAGAGAGAGAGAGAGAGAGAGAGAGAGAGAGAGAGAGAGAGAGAGAGAGAGAGAGAGAGAGAGAGAGAGAGAGAGAGAGAGTGAGAGAGATCCCTTTTTATGTTCATCTTTCCAATGAATCGCAGTACACGACAGTACAGTACACGACAGTACAGTACACGACAGTACAGTACACGACAGTACAGTACACGACAGTACAGTACACGACAGTACAGTACACGACAGTACAGTACACGACAGTACAGTACACGACAGTACAGTACACGACAGTACAGTACACGACAGTATAGTACACGACAGTACAGTACACGACAGAACAGTACACGACAGTACAGTACACGACAGTACAGTACACGACAGTACAGTACACGACAGTACAGTACACAACAGTACAGTACACGACAGTACAGTCACGAAGTATAGTACACGACAGTTACAGTACAGACAGTACAGTACACGACGTACAGTACACGACAGTATAGTACACGACAGCACAGTACACGACAGTACAGTACACGACAGTACAGTACACGACAGTACAGTACACGACAGTATAGTACACGACAGCACAGTACACGACAGTACAGTACACGACAGAACAGTACACGACAGCACAGTACACGACAGAACAGTACACGACAGTACAGTACACGACAGCACAGTACACGACAGCACAGTACACGACAGTACAGTACACGACAGCACAGTACACGACAGAACAGTACACGACAGCACAGTACACGACAGCACAGTACACGACAGTACAGTACACGACAGCACAGTACACGACAGTACAGTACACGACAGCACAGTACACGACAGCACAGAACACGACAGCACAGTACACGACAGCACAGTACACGACAGTACAGTACACGACAGTACAGTACACGACAGTACAGTACACGACAGTACAGTACACGACAGTACAGTACACGACAGTATAGTACACGACAGAACAGTACACGACAGTACAGTACACGACAGCATAGTACACGACAGCACAGTACACGACAGTACAGTACACGACAGCACAGTACACGACAGCACAGTACACGACAGAACAGTACACGACAGTACAGTACACGACAGTACAGTACACGACAGAACAGTACACGACAGCACAGTACACGACAGAACAGTACACGACAGTACAGTACACGACAGTACAGTACACGACAGCACAGTACACGACAGAACAGTACACGACAGAACAGTACACGACAGCACAGTACACGACAGAACAGTACAAGACAGGACACTACACGACAGCACAGTACACGACAGCACAGTACAAGACAGCACAGTACACGACAGGACAGTACAAGGCAGCACAGTACAAGACAGGACAGTACAAGACAGGACAGTACAAGACAACACAGTTCAAGACAGCACAGTACAAGACAGCACAGTACACGACAGGACAGTACAAGGCAGCACAGTACACGACAGGACAGTACAAGACAGCACAGTACAAGACAACACAGTTCAAGACAGCACAGTACAAGACAACACAGTACAAGACAGCACAGTACACGACAGGACAGTACAAGACAGCACAGTACAAGACAGCACAGTACAAGACAGCACAGTACACGACAGGACAGTACAAGACAGCACAGTACAAGACAGCACAGTACAAGACAGCACAGTACACGACAGGACAGTACAAGACAGGACAGTACAAGACAGCACAGTACAAGACAGCACAGTACAAGGCAGCACAGTACAAGACAGCACAGTACAAGACAGCACAGTACAAGACAACACAGTACAAGACAGCACAGTACACGACAGGACAGTACAAGACAGCACAGTACAAGACAACACAGTACAAGACAGCACAGTACAAGACAGCACAGTACAAGGCAGCACAGTACAAGACAGCACAGTACAAGACAACACAGTACAAGACAGCACAGTACAAGACAGCACAGTACAAGGCAGCACAGTACAAGACAGCACAGTACAAGACAGCACAGTACAAGACAGCACAGTACAAGACAGCACAGTACAAGACAGCACAGTACAAGACAGCACAGTACAAGACAGCACAGTACAAGGCAGCACAGTACAAGACAGCACAGTACAAGACAACACAGTACAAGACAGCACAGTAGAAGACAACACAGTACAAGACAGCACAGTATCACTTGTTCACCACACTACCAACTACGTCCTGCCCACCCGGTGTTACCCTTTACGTTGGCAGGACGCATCCAGTACCTGACGCTGACAGAGACGGACATGGTGTGGATGCCTGACTTGTTCTTCAGGAACGAGAAGGAAGGACACTTCCACAAGATCATTCTACCCAACCTTTACATCCGTATCTACCCAGATGGTGGCGTCCTCTATAGTATCAGGTGAGTAGACTGTCTACTCCTGTCTACTGTCTACCTTCCTGGAAGCCAGTAGTGGCAGGTCAGTAGACGGGTAGATGGTATCTGTCTACCCGTTCGCCCTCTAAGAATATGTATAAATCTGTACTCACCTGCAATCAGCTGTACTCAGTTGTACTCACCTTATTATCTTCTTCCTCGTCAGAATCTCGCTGACGTTGTCATGTCCGATGAATCTGAAGCTGTTCCCACTAGACCGTCAGCAGTGTCAGCTCCTCATGGCCTCCTGTGAGTATACTCTCCTCAGCACACGTATATAGGCTCCAGTATATTCCTACATTATATACGTTCAATATGCTATCGACCTCCGTCACGTTATATCCTTCTTTTACGTTATATTTCTATATGTGAGCCAAACAAGCCGATCTATCTTAAAAAAAAGATAGACTTTTTTATCGATTATCTATCGAGAGGTAGTCACGTGACTTAACAATGTTTTGGAAATTTTTGTATATTGAATAATTAGCTTGTTTTTTTTTTCAAATATATATTAAAAGTAGAAGTATACTAGGGTTGTTTGGCCAGAGTAACTTTACTTAATAAGCAAAGACTGCTAGGCCGACTTAAAAAGCACCACACACACACATACACACACACACACATACACACACACATACACACACACACACGTGTAAAATCCTTGTACAATCTCTGCTTCTCACTGTCCATCTGGCCTGTGGGTTCCCATCTCACAGACGGGTGGACCACAGAGGACCTGGTGTTCCTCTGGAAGGACGTTGATCCCGTGCAGGTGACCAAGAACCTTCACCTGCCTCGCTTCACCTTAGAGAAGTTCATCACTGACTACTGCAACAGCAAGACCAACACTG